TGTATCTACCAAGAAGCGCCTCTTTACGGCTGCTAGGTAGTCACGGACCACACCCATACGCAATTCAGCACAATGACGCTGCAAGTTATGGGTTATTCTCCTACCTTTACCTTTACCTTTACCTTTATTTTTAACGTGTTGATTACGGTCGTATATTCGAGATGATGTTACCCTTACAGGTAATATGCCTCTGTTTGTTCCTGCTGACACTACATCTGCATGGTCTGGTTGCCGCTATTCCAAGATGGTTAATTCTGTAGAAAAAATCTTTGACCGGAATTGCTGTACACCGTTGGCTAATTTTATAAAATTCGCTAATTGTGTAAATCATATCTTTTTAATGCTGCTTGGCACTTCCAAAAGGCCCTACCTCAGGGTTAAAATCCACTTTAAAATTTCAAAATCTTCTAAAATATCTATATACAAAAATATCAAAAACGTTGAAATGCAGCAACAGAAACAAAGTTAAAAAATGACAGTAGTAACAGACACTGAACAAGAATACAGATAGTACTCAGCCGGCCTTGCGTGCACAAGCTTACGACACTGCCTCGATCTAGAATGTGGGTTATGTAACACCAGCGGGTTCGGTACACTTTGAGCTAGTCTGTGCATGCATTGCTTAGAACAATAGTCAATCCAAGGATGTTAGTCACTAGCTATGTCTTTTGATTAAACGAAGCCAGGGCTAGGAAACAGCTCAAAAATAACACGATCACAATACTTAAAAAAAAAACACAGGAATACTTTAAAAAAAACACCACAGAAAACTTCCACAAACCTTCACGGACGCATTAAACACAACAATCAACAACAAGGTAAAAAGCACAATTTTAAGAGGAAAATAATCCTTTCCTTAGTTGCCTGGCTCCTCAAGCACATAATAGATCATTAGTAGAGTAGATATAGCTCAAAAAAGGGCATAATCCCCAAAAAATTGCAACAAAAGGTTTTTCAACGGATTTTGATAGTATTAGATGTGCTAAATAACATACAAAAAGTCTTACAAAATCCGACCACCGGAAAGTGGTTCTTTTCAAGATGGCCGCCAAAATGGCGCCAATATCATAAAACAGCTACAAACTGTATTGTAATTGCGGATTTTATCATCAATATCAGGCTTTATGGGTTAATAAGTCATTTGAGACAATTTTTAATGTGATGACCAATATGAATATATTCAAAATGGCGTGCAAAATGGCCGCCATGTATAAACAGCCATAAATCAGTTATTATAACTACATAAGCTTTGTTGTTATTTGTTAATGTTGTATGTAATTGTCAAAAACATCCAGCATTGTCTTATTTATCATTTAACATTTTCGCTATTTTACCTACTGTATGTCAACAAGTCTTTGGAATAACCTGCTTTAAGAAGCTTTCTGATTGGTTAATTTGTCTTACAGCAATACATTTGACATTAGCAATTTTAGAAAAGTAACACTCAACACGGTAAACATGAATAAACAGGCATCAATAAATGAAGATTACTTTGAAGTGTCTTTTCATAATCCCTTGGTGAATGAATCTGTTGCGCCCAAGCACTAAAAATAATATATTTTTTAAAGAAGTTCTCTGATTGGCATGATTGGAAGTTAAACTATCTTGAGTATATTTCCCGCACGATTAAAATCGTAACGGTACTGGTTTGGTCTACAGGAGCTTGTGCTTCGTACAGGTCATTCCATTCATAGAGAAAGCCTTTTTCTTGGAAAAAGCGTACCTGTCGTTAGCCATAGTAGCCTAGGTCAATACTAACTACGGCTATACAAAATTGATTATAAGATTGAAAAGTATTCACCTTATTATTGTAGTAGTGACACCATGTCCACATTTTAATTATTGTTATTTATTCATTAAGGTTATTATATATTATTTATATTTAAATTTAATGTATTGTTTAAGTATAAATTATTCAACGTCCACGTTAAATTAATCTTATTAAAATTGTATTAAATAATATAATAATTATTTCATATAATATTTTCAAATAAATGTTGAAACACTTCTAATTAATTAAATTAAAACTCTGAAAGTAAATTTACGTAGATTAGATCAATAAAAATGGACATAGTAGTAATCCTTATATATTCATAAACAAGAATAACTTTTTCATTCTTCTAATCAATTTTATAGAGCCGGAGTTAGTTTCGACCTAGGTAAACCTTGCTAGAAAGGTACACTTTCTCCATAAATGGCTTTTTCTATGAATGGAATGACCTGTTTGAAGCACGAACTCCTGTAGACCAAACCCAATACCGTTACGATTTTTAATCGTGCGGGAAATCCACTCACGATGCAAAAGAAAAGGTAAAGCCAAAAGAAAAGATAAAGCCAAAACACTTGGAGATGAAAAAGCCATTAAAATTGCTCCTGATAGAACCATTGACCCTGCCATTTTTATTCCAAAGATTCCTTGTCGTGTCAAATCGGGAGATCTTACATTAGAAGATGTAATGAGTAATGAACTTAGTCCATTTCCACCATCACTTTTTGAGACTAAACATTTTTAGGAAGGCCAACAAACCACAATTTGTTCAAGTTGTTATAGATCATGCAAGTAAGCTGTCAATTAAAGCAATCTACGACACTGTACCGGAAACTGAATGTTGTGATCTAGATGGAGGCTCCCTTTTACATCACTTATGGAAGAGAGGAGACAGGTACGGCACAAACTTAAAAACTTTACGGCTAATACCGAGTTTGATGGCAAAAGGGATACATAACAAGCAGATACATACTCCAAGTATCAAAACGCACGCCATCATGTCGGGATTCATTAATTATGTCATCATCAGGATAACAAGCAGAAGTTTATAAATATGCTCTCTGCTGAACTTCAGAAAAGAAATTGTCCTGTAATACTTGAAAGGAACGATGCTGACGTGGATATAGTGTAGCAGCAGTAGACATTTCCCATCATCATACTGTAACTTTAATTGGAGAAGATACAGACTTGTTCTTCTTCTCTATCATGTCAATACAGACGAACGAGAGGTTTACTTCAGGTCGGACAAGACAATGGATACTAGGGTAAGGGTAATAAATGTAACCCGCATAAAATCCGCCTTAGGAAATAAAGTATGCCTTGCATTGTCATTCAACATGCTTTTACGGGTTGTGATTCAACATCGTGCATTTTTGACATCGGTAAAGAAGGCAGCTTTCCAGAAATTGGTGGAGGGAGATTAGATTCTTAGATTATGTGCTGAAGCATTTAGTCAGCCAAATCAGAACAGTGATGTAATTGTGGAATTTGTAAGAAAGGCTATCTATCCTGTTTGGGACTGAATCCATTGATTCACTTGATAGCTTCAGATGTAAGCAAGAAAGTTGTTGGGGGGTATCGATTGTGAAGCCTCAGCAACTACCTCCAACTACATCTGCCAGTAAATTTCATTGTCAACTTTTAAAAATCATCCATTGCAATTGCACTACTGGATGTAAAACACCACGTTGCAGTTGCAGATGCTATGGGTTGGCATGCACATCAGCCTGTGGACCCTGTCAACTTAAGGGATGTGAGAATGTAGAGAAAGTAATAGATGATGAAGAGGGAGAAATGGAAACAGATGACTATTGATTTATCGTAAACTACAAAACACATTAAATATAGCAAGCCTGGTCCTTAATTCCAGTCTACTTGTTGGTATAACTGTTAATCAATAGAATTTGATCAAAAAATGACAACACTTAAAATTGCTAAAGTAAGTACTGATTTATGACTGTTTATACATGGCGGCCATCTTGGACACCATCTTGAATTGATTTATATTGATTATATCACATTCTAAACTGTCTGAAATGATTTACTGACCCAAAAAACTTGAAATTGTTTTAAAAAGATATAGCTGTTTTATGGTATGGCCGCCATTTTGGCGGCCATCTTGGAAAAAACCACTTTCCGGTGGTCGGATTTCATAAGACTTTTTTTATGTTATTTAGCACACTCAATACTACCAAAAAAAATCCGTTGAAAAACCTTTTGTTGCAATTTTTTGGGGGTCAAACTTTATTTCTACTGTACTACATAATGGTACAACACTTGTGTATTTTATTTGTACTGTATTAAGGTCTAAGTTGATTACTGATAAAAAACGATTTACAAATATTAATTAGCAATGGCCTATCACAAAATGCTGAGGCTTAGTATGAGGCTATTTAAATCCTTTCTATCACCTTTTTAGTTCCTATGCATGTAATGCAATAGGAACTATTGTAATCACTCTTGCTATTTCCTATGTTATTTATTGTGTGTAGTGTGTATGTGTGTGTGTAGACATTTATGCAAATGCGCATGCGTCAAAGAAAAGTTTTCCGACATTTTGTTTTACATCGCGTGTGTGTGTGTAGACATTTATGCAAATGCGCATGCGTCAAAGAAAAGTTTTCTGACATTTTGTTTTACATTGCGATGCGAAGATCGATGTGAAGTTTCTGCAGAGTTCAGTCAGGGCTCACGCTAACCGACCGGAATGTCGGCATGGATGAAACTATTTTGGTTTTACGGCAAAAAAATCAAC